TTTTTCTCTTCTACAAAAATTACGGTAGGTTTCCATTTTTTTTTATTAATGAATATAAGAGCTGGGGTACAGGCCAGAGGTGCGGGGCGCAGGTGGGGGGAGGAGAGAGGACCCACCAGAGACAGAGTGGGGGAACAGAACAGGCAGATTGACTGAAACACACTGCTGAGGGGAGCAGCAGGCAAGTCAGGAGAGATCTGCTGCGCCATGTGGGTTGCTCCCTGGTCTGCCAGGAATCGAACTCGTGCTGCAGAGGCTGTGTATTGCGGTGCTTAACCCCTGCGCCACCAGGGAGGCCCTAAGAGGGTACATTTTAACAAAGATTTGTAGAAGGTGAGGGAGCCAGGCCTTGAGGTGGGCAAAGGCTGGTGGGTTTGTGGAACAGCAAGTCCAGTGGTTGGAGTAGAGAAAGTATGTGAGAGTATAAGAGATAGGTTATGGAAATTTTAGAAATTCAAAGAAGGTGAATCTAAGTTTTGAAACTTTTCTGATTTGCCTGATTGATTTCAGAGTCTTTATTTTTTTCTATACTTCACTTTCCAAATTGCTCCTATTGCTATGATCTTTTGGAAGTTAAAAGGTGTTATCTTTCCTGGGCATTGTAAGACTCAGGCTTAGATTATGGGAGAAGGGAGAAAACAGCACAGGAGAGAACAGAAAACTACCCAGGAACTAGAAATTTTAATTGGCTCAAGCCCCAAATTTTTTCAATCACTGGATTCAGGTGAGAAAATAATTTCAGTGGAAATATCTGTCTGGTTCTAGGATCTCCACGTGGATGTCACAGGAAGAAGGTGCACCAGGAAGATTCAAGCAATTGCACAGATTTGACATCTGCAGTCTTCAGGTAAGTTTTCACCAGGTCATACCTCAGATGTATGTGTTGGAAATTTTTCAGGGACCCACACTAGCTGCCTGGTGAGACCAAGATGGATTGGGGATCATTTTTCAGGGACCTGGCCTGAATTGTACTCACATAGACACTTAAAAGAAACCAAAGCAAGAGGATATGCAGTTATTAGAACTAAAGGAAAGAACTTAGGAATTTTACATGCTCAGTAATTACATAATAGAGAACACTATCAATAGGAGTCAATGGTTGATGATGATCTGATCTTTAAAATAAAGGGAAACATTGTACTAAGGTAGAAAAAGTATAAGAGGGATCCAGATTTGAATCCAGACTCAGTTTCTGGCTAGTTATGTAGTTTTAGATAAATTCCTTAAACATCATGAACTTTATATTCTTTATCTATAGAATACCTTTTTCACAGGACCAGTGTGAGAATGATGGGAATGTGTAATAGGTGAAAATTATTGGTAGTAATAATAATACTTAACATTTACACAGTATTTCCTATGTCCTGGAGTCTATTTGAAAAAATTGTATACGTTACTTTTTGAATTCTCCCAAAAAGGATTGAGGTAAGTACTCAAAAGAAATAAAGGGAGATGAAGTAATTTCCAAAAGCATAAAAGGCTGGGGCAGAACCAAGATTTAAACTCAGGAAGCCTGATTGTTAATTATTACATTATATTGCCTTTCTTATGGAATCAACCAAAGTAAGGATGATGTTATGATACAGGTCAACAACCTAAGTTGAAATATGAAATTAAGAATGACTGGCAGGCCTCCCCGGTGGCGCAGCAGGTTGAGCATAGCGCTGTGAAGCTGTCTGCAGCCACTGCAGTGCGGGTTCTATCCTGGCTGGCCAGGGAGATACCCACATGGCGCGGCAGACCTCTCCTGCCTCACCCACTGCTCCCCTCAGCAGTGTTTTTGGTCATCTGCCTGTTCTGCTCCCCTCTCTGTCTCTAGTGAATTCTTTCACCCTCCCGTGCCTCTGACTTTTACCCCAGTGCTTGTATAAATAAATAAATAAATCTTTAACAACAAAAAAGAGAATGGCAATTACCAAAGACAAAGAATATATAGATATAGAGATGACTGGCTACCAGCTTTAACTATGAATTGTGGTGGAAGAATTTTGGAGATCTCATTTCACTTTGAGTTGTCCAGTTTCTTGGAAAACAACAAACTCTATTATAATGTAAAACTAGGCTGGGCACTAGAAGAATAAAGCCCCTTTTTGTTTGTAGGCAAAAATTTCCTTTCAAATATGTTTCATACTGACAACTTTATACAAGTTTCTTGGTTGTTAAATATTTTATTCTTGTTTATTAGTAATCTTGTCTCTTATTTTCCTGGCAAATTTCTGTTTCTTATCTTACCACAGCAGGTCAGATAAGACCAGTGCATTCCAGTGATAATAATCAGGATGCATTTTCTGGCCTTTCTCCTAAATTCCTTTAACCTATTTCCCAGCAAGTCCCATATGCACACAGTTCTCAGTTTTGACTTCTCCACAGAATCCACAGTAACATTTCCTATGTGAATTCTTTACATGCTCAGCTCTCATATGAATCCAACCCATTGTACCATTTTTCAGTGTACATTTTTTGTTAATGATGTCCTGAGGAAGCAGGAGAAAAAGCCAGAGTTTTTCAAAAGGGTTCTCTTTATGGTGGGTCTGTTCAAAATATTTTTTTCTCTCACTTGATACATTCTTTATAGACATGTTGTCTACACATAGGGATGCTATTTCTCTTCTGCCTAGTCCCAGATCTGTATCTTCCATCCAGATCTCTTTCAGAATCTTTCTTTCAACTATTTACAAGATCCTCCATTTGGATGTCTTATGGCAACTCAGATTCAGCCTGGGCAAAACTGAATTCATCTTCCATTTCCTCCCTTCCCCATCCAAGCAAATTCTCATGCTCTCTCCCCAATCTCAGGAAATGGCATCACCATCTTCCACATTGTTCAGACTGGAACCTTGCAGTCATTCTTGACTGTTACTTCCTCCATAACACCAACAGTCAGTCAATAGCCAACTCCTGTCAAGGCTACCTCTTTAACCTTTTGTTAACTCCCACTCCATTTTCTTAATCCAAATCACCATTATTTTTCACCTCCTAAAAATATCCTGTTAACTGACCTGCTACTGCTAGTTCTTACAATCCTCCTGGCAAAGGACTAAAAAACATACACATGAAGAACTATCACAAACCAGTAAGAAAACTACCAACAATCAATAGAAAAGTGAGCAAAGAGAATGAAAGAAAAGAGACAAGAAGCAGTAATTTATGGAGAGATGCTCAGTCTCACAAAAGGAATGATAAATAAAAACAAAGCAACAGTGAGTTACCATTGCTCAAAGACTCAAAAATGTAAAGACATAGTACTTGCAAAGTATAGGTACGCAGTGATGATCAGCGTAGTTTTGGTATGCTATATAAGGTGCCACCTCTATGAAGGACATACTCTAAGAGGATATTTTTCATTGTCTCTTCTTTGATAGTTTGGATTTTTTCTTACCATGTGAATATATTACTTTTTCAATAAGAAATAAACATTAACTTGAAAAAAATTCTTATTGCTAGGAAGACCTGCCCATTCAGGCAGTACCAGGAAACTTCCCAGTTCACTTCATGAAACAGCCCTCCACAGCTGGTCAGGGTTTACTCTCTTATGTCCCAAATCCATGAGAAACTTATTCCAGTGCTCCGAGGGCATCTGCTAATTCATATGTATTTTTTCTCCCTCGTTCCTCTTATTTCAGGAATAATTCAAGAGTACTGATGGGAACTTGACACAGGTGCTCCAAAACTTAAGCTAATCAAAATGATTTGTACTAATTTGCAAAATTCGTAACATTACATTTTGATTTTAGGAAAGTTACCTTCTGAAGTGTACTTCTTTTGGGCTATTTTAGGCCTATTTTAATTCATGTTCATTGGCACTCATACACTGTAGTATGAGAAGTGCAACCAGAGCATAGTTAGGTCAGTAGGTATTTAAAAATGGTTGTGGACAAGGTGCCCTTCAAACTGGGTTCAAGATTTCCTTCTGAGAATGAAAAACTTAAGATCAAATTGTGATTAATGAGCTGTAATCTGCAGCAATAACATAATCAAAGATTACTCTTCGGGTCTCCCCGGTGGTGCAGCGGTTGTGTGCTGGGTTGCAAAACTGCCTACAGCCTCTGCAGCACCGGTTCAATCCCCAACTGCTCCCCGGCCACCGGAGGAAGGTCCCACATGGCGCACAGACCTCTCCTGCCGCCTGCTGCTCCCCTCAGCAGTGTACTTCATCAGTCTGCCTGTTCTCTTCCCCGCTCTGGCTCTGGTGAATTCTCTCACCCTCCCATGCTTCTGACTGTACCCAGTGCTTGTATAAATAAATAAATAAACAAATCTTTAAAAAAAAAAAAGATTACTCTTCATATTTGATTAGCATTTGGTAATACCCCAAAACCAATCAAGATGACCTGGCTATTACTTTAGAAGCAAGACTTTCACACATATGACCAAAATTCAGAAAGCTTAAACATGAACTATAAAGAACTCTTTTGGAACACAAATTACTGGGCAAGGGGAGTGCAGCATGCCTGCAAGAAATGGAAAGTTGGAAAGCAAGTCTCGGTCATGAACCTCTGAGACATAAGACAGAGGGTTTAACCAGGCAATGTTCAATCCCCTTGGAAATATTTCTCCTATGGGGTATATGTTTATGAGTTAAAGCTATTAAGCTTGATCAACAAGACCCGGACATGTTCTCTGTGCACCTCCCCAAATTTGCTTCTCATCCAGATTTACTTGCAAGCCTCCGCAGATGTCATTCCAGTCTCATAAGATTTATGGCAGGTGGCGGGGGGCTAGGAGACATTTAATTGAACTTTTTCCTAATAAAGGAATGCTCCCAGATGTCTCAGCGCTTCCTAACCCAAGCCCATCATCAATGCTTCTTTTAAAGAAACTTGTTATGTTGGTTCCTGAGTAAACTTCCTCTCCCAGTCACAGTCTCAAGACTTTTTTCAGGAGGAACTCATGAGATCTCTTTTAAGTTTTCTGAAACCCAAATTACTTTTAGGAGGTAAATGGATAATACATCTCTATTTGGACTTAATTAGGGGAAAGGAAACCAATGCAACCATTATTTTAATTTCTTTATTTATCAATCGTATCCAAAAAAAAAAAAAAAAAGTCCAAACAAACCCAGAAGTTACAAAAACAAGTTAAATGCAGTATGGAAGCCTACTAAATACAAATACATTTCACAAACACAAGGCAACAGAAACCTGTTCAAATTGCTTCTTGGAATTTGACTACTTAAAAACGTTAAGTGTAAAGGAAAGACATTCAGATTGGTCCACATGGGCTCATTAGCAGGTAGGGGAGCCCTACTGTTCAAACAGTGATGGAGTCCAGAGTTAGGACATACGACATTCTATGGACACTGAATCTTAACAGATGCTTATAAAACCACACATACACTGAGAAAGTCCAAGGAAGCTCGCAGTCTAAACCCTGTGCTGCAGGAACTGACCCCAAACAAACAAAACCCTGTTTGTTTGCTCCATGCTCCATGCCAAGCTTTAGCAAGACTCTACAAACCAGGCTGTTTAGCAGCTTAAGTCATCAGATGGTCATTAGATGATGTGAGCCTATGGTGCTGACAATAGTTTTCCTATTTACAGAAGGAATGCAGATTTGCTCTTGGGAATTCAATGTTTCTGTCTTGGTGGCAACCACTGTCTTAAACCTAACTGGTGAATGTTACTCTGGCTTCTAGCTTTAAACAAGCTGGCACTCCTGCCCTTTCTTCTATGCTGTACAAAGCTGACAAAACTGGATTAAAGTGTGCTGTTGGGAGCTCTCCAAGTCACCTAGAAAGGGAGGTACATTTTGGGCTGCACAACTGGGGTTGAAAGAAAAACTTTTAAGTGGGATGATGTGTAAAAGCTCAGAATTCGAAACAAAGTACAATGTCTTCCTTTCAAAGGAGAACAAGAAAACTTATTTAGAAGGAATTTCATTTTCAGCACAACTTTCTCAGTTCTGTGTAATATACTCTAAATAATTCCCCTCTAGTGGTCTATAATCTGCTTTCTGAAAATGAGATCTTATATCAAGCTTTTAATCTTTGTTTTTCCAAATGCATCTTAAGCATGATATTAAGTGGGGTAAATAATGACAGAAATCAAAAGACACAGCAATAAACGACTTCTGCCCAATCATAGTTCTAAGATTCAATATCCATGTTTCCCCCACTCCTGAATTGTGGAACCTTTTGTCCTCATCTCTGATGGCAAAACCATTTCTGTTTCCAAGAAGTTAAATGCAAAAAATGAAGAGAAAGTGGGGTATTTCCCATTCTTCCTGGCTGGCTTTACGAGAGGGGGCTGGACAGCACAGCACAATCTTCCTGGGCCATTCAGACAGACATTAAATTGGGACTTTTTTTCTCTCAGACTCTTCTTGTTATAACAACAAGGTTTCATTTTATCTTAAGAAGTAGAAAAATTACAGGAACATGTTTCTTCCTGGACCAATTATCAGAAACAAAGAAATTAAAATCTACCAAATTGAAAGGTTCATGCATTCCTACCTGCTGACTCAGGAAACTGAGGAAGAGACGGCCAAAGTTATTGTCCTAACTAGTGGTGCATTGATGAGCACACTGGGCAGCTGGATTGTTAAGCCTTGCTTAGCTTCACTTGTTTCGCCCTTTGGAGCACTGGTTTGCATGAATTCATCAGAATAAGCAAAAACAAATGAACTTTTGGGATTTTGAAACCTTTGTATAAAGATGCTTCATCTTCCCTTGGCCTCTGAGGCATCCACTGCTTCTCTGGCAGACTGCTGGCCCTTGGAAGCCAGGGGGCCAAGCCCTGGGCTGCTTCTAGTATGTGGTGGGGTAAGGGAGTCAGGGTTACAGCGATTTCTGCATCAGGAAGAACCCAAAACTCTCCCACCTTTGAAATGGTAAGATTACTGAAAAAATAATTACAGATGCTTAATTTCTAGTCAAGAAAATGAACAGTAAAAGAAACAACAATAATATAATGATAATAATTGAAGAATGAAGTCGACTTGCCAAAAAAAAGTTTTACAGAAAATAGCACCTTTGGTAAAGAGTATTTTTAAAATTTGGTTAGGTCTCTAAGGGGCTTAAAGGAGACAAGTATCTGCATCACATGGGTGAAACCTCCCAGAGACTCCATCAAGTCTGAGGATACTGGCAACTAGCAGGGTGACTGTGTATCCAGACGTAGTGGTTGGGGCTACCAGAAGCACAGATGCTGGAGCATCTGTTAAGCTGATGGCCAATAGAAGGGTTAGAAATGGTAGGCCTTCTCCACTGAGCTTCCCAACCCCCTCCTGAGAGGACTGTCTGCTAAGTGCTCCCTGGCATTGCTCACACTCTCTGCAGCGAGTTTACAGTTTTGGGAGATTCTGAAGTGGTTCGCATCTGGGTCAATCCTTCTCCAAACCTTGATGCAGTTTCCTTACTTGCCTCCAGGCCCTGAGACCTGTTTACATAGTTACTTTCAAAACACTCTTAGAAATGAAGGCTGTGGCCCTTCCCTCTCCTAGTCAGCCACTCCATTTCCTTTATTGCAAAACAAATAGACAAAATAGAACTCATTGCTATACAAGAAAATACTGGTGATTTGGCGGCTGTAGCAGACACTTGCGGATACTGAATTCAGTGCTGAAGTAGAAGAGGAGGTGTTGGGCTCCAGACACTGTTCCCACACGCCTCCTCGTTAGACCTCTTTGGTGCTCACTCTCTTGGTCTTTTCGGAGGTTTCCTTTGAGAAGAGAAAACAAGCATAATGAAAAAAAAATATATAAAGTGTTGGCATTTATTTTGCCCACAAGACTTCACAAAGCCTGGGCAGGTATATGGTTATGTTGAATTTCAGTTCTATTTACTTGTCTGTCTTCTCTGTGGATGGAGAAGAGCTTGAGGACAAGGAATGTGTCTTAGTCATGACATGTTTGACTATCACCAAATTAAAGCTGATCCCATTGAAAGTCCTAGAAATCAATCAGATCAAGCATTATCATCCTCATTTTGGATATTAAGGAAAGGATACTAAATGGAAGTGCTACAAGATTCTCTGAACTCAAGTCCAGGGAAGCAGTGAGAACAACGGGCTCTAGAATTAGGCTGCCTGAGCCACTGGCTGGGGGATATATTATGTCCCCCAGTGTCCTCAGCTATAAAATGAAGGTAATGCCATCTCTTACAAAAGCAGTGCCTTTCTTCAAAAAACACACTATTTATGGTCATTAATAGATGGCTTGAGAGAGAAGGGGCTCCAGATCATTAGTGGTTAGGGAAATGCAAATCAAAATTATGATGACATGCCACTTCACACCTGCTAGGATGGCCAGAATAAAAAATAATGGACAACTACTGCTGAGAATATAAAATGATATAGCCACTTTGGAAAACAGTCTGGTAGTTACCCAAAAGGTTAAATACAGAGTTGCCTTGGGACCCAGTAATTCTATTCCTGGGTAAAGCCCAAGACAGTTGAAAATTTATGTCCAAATAAAAATGTATACAAGAATGTTCTCAGCAGTATTATTCACCATAGGCAAAAGTAGAAACAACCTTAATATAGATCAATTGATTAACGGATACATAAAATGCAGCATTTCCATAATATGGAACGTTACTCAGCCTTAAAAAAGAATGAAATACTGATTCATGTTACAACGATAAACATTGAACATATGATGTTAAATACAAGTCAGACAGAAAACACCATAATTTGTATGATTCCATTTTTATGTGTCCAGAATAGGCAAATCTATAGAGTTAGAAAGTAGATTAGCAGTTGCCTGGGACAGGGGGAAGACAATGCCAAGTGATCTAATGGGTATAGGTTTTCTTTTTTGAGACGATTAAAATATTCTGGACTAAGATAGTGGTGATGGTTGGCAATATTGTAACTATACTAAAACCATCGGATCGTACACTTTAAAAAGTGATTTTTATGGCATATGAATTATATTAAAAAAAAAAACATTTTATAGCACAGGCGAGGCTTCGTGTAGGGGAAAAAAAGAAAACGTAATAGGAAAACAAAAACAGTAGTGTCTGGCTCCCAGCAGTGTTGGTGCCCCATCTACAGCCTCTGGCATTAACTGTTCAGATACATTCCCTGACTTCTTATTGCCGGCACCTGCATCTTTTTGCCTGCGGGCTCTCTTCGGCTTCCCACTTTGTCCATACATGATGGCAGGCCAGAAATGCCAGGAAATTCATGTTTGCTGGTGGCAGCCCACAGCCAATGGCCAAGTGTGTTTGTGTGAGAATACCCTGGCTCCCAACCCCTCAGGCACCACAGTTCCATTCCACAGCTCCCCATGTGACCAAGATGCTCTTGATCACAGTGCTAACTTGCCTGAATACACACTCTTTATTGCAATTCCTTCCTTTCCTAGACTTACTTCCTAACTCGCCTTCTGCTGTTTCCTGGGGTTGCCTCCTGAACAAACTATTTGTACTGGAGTCCTTGCCCTAGTGTCTTTTCTGAGGGAACTCACATAAAATAGAATCACCTAAACAACGTTAGCTATTATAATTCACTCCCCACTTCCATTCTGACCATTTCTCCACCCTCAATGAAAGGAATTCTTATTAAGTTCTTTTTTTCCCTTCATTTGGAGACTCAAGGGTTTTGGAAATGGAAAATCAAAAAGACTAGGAGCTTCTGCTTTTGCTTAAAAAACTGACAGGTTTGTTATATTACCACTATCAGTGATAATGACAAGATACATACAAAGAATCATCAACTTATAAAAGTAATTATTATTTTGAGCAAATATTAATTTAATAATTTTTTGTATTCAAATAAAATATTTCATTTCAAAATTTTAGCAGTTCTTATAATTCTTATATTTCTTAATAATGTCTTATTACTTGACCTAGCCTATAGACAGGTCACCTAGGAATAACATTTTTGTTAAGCCTACATGGTAAGCCAGAGGGAAGATGGGCTCAGGAGTCCAGTGTCCCCATGTATTCTCTCCACACCCTTCGCAAACTACAGAGGTGGATTACTAAGCTACTAAGAACATTTCCCCAAGGAGGCCTTCAATTTAACGACATAGAACCTGAACAGAATTCTTATTTATTCTTGTTTTCTCAAGTCTCCAGGAAACAAAAGCTCTAAATTTTTAGGTGTCATTTAGTCAACTGGGCATTTAAGTTAAATTGTTTGTGCTGCAGTCTGAATCCACTAATTTCATGCTCATTGAGAGCCTACTATATCCCAGGCCCTGTGCTAAATGCACGGATACTATGGTGAGCAAGTCACAGAGTCTGGCCTCAAGGAAGTCCTAGTTTTCGGGTCTGGGCACTATCATGACAGGAAATAAATACTTCTTTAGTCCATACTCATTTGCAAACAACTTCCACTTCCTATTCTTTCTTATAAAATAATAACCTAGTCTAACCTACATGTGCTAAGACCTGCCGGCCCCAAGGACCTCATCAAGAAACAGTATCCCTTTTTGAATGGTACAGGTGTACCATTCAAGACCTATTATACTGGACAGAGCACAACTCCTTGGCCTGGGGCATTAGCCAGTGTCCTAGTGGTGGATGGACCTGGCGGTCACAGCACACACACCGGTGTGGAGACAACAATTCACCTGGTGCTTTTGGAGCTCCTTGACGTATCTGGTCATCTCCTCCTCTGTCTGGGTCTGGGTCCCCTTCTGATTCTTTCCTGTAAGAAGAACCAAGGTTCAGAGCAGTAGTGGCTAAGGGAAGCCAGTAGGGGTCCCATCAATGTCTGTCTTTAAGGTTCTCAATTTCATCTCCCATTTACCCGTGGAAGGAAGGTGAGTTACCTGCATGTCTCTGAAGTGTCCCAGTGCAATGATACCTCTAGTAACACATCACTAACAAAGCAATCTACCCCCTTTTTTTCTGGCCTCTTTTCCTAGTGTCTCCTTCAACAGCTCCAACACATACATGCCAGGAGCTGGCCCTGCAGGAAAAGCCACAGAGAAAATCTGGATTCTGATCAGGAAGTTCCTCTGGCACAGTGATTGTCAAGCATTCACATGCTCACTCCCTCTCTTCCCAAATGTTCTAGAAGACATTTCAAAATGTAATTGTTTAGATTCATCCTTTAGAGACTGGGATTTAATTGATGTGAGGTGAGGCGTGGGCACCGGGATTTTGTATGGGCTCTTTAGGTGGTTCTAATGTGCGGCCAGGGTTGATGACCAACATATCTATAATGTTTCCCAAATTTGCAGAAGAAAAAAGTTATAGATCTTAAAAGGACAGGGTCGTGGGGGCCTCCCTGATGGCGCAAGGGGTTAAGTCTCAGAGCTATCACTGCAAAGGCCTGAGTTTGATCCCTGGCCAGGGAGCTAACTCACATATGGTGCAGCGGACCTCTCCTCTTTTTTTTAGGATACCCAATTCTTTGAATTTAAAGAGGATCTAAGAATATTTTTCACTTTTCTGCTGAGTATGAATGGCAAGGAGGAGTTGTTTTGTCTTCTAACTGCCTGAGACTTTTACATATAGGATTTCCTAAGCTGCTACAGGATTAAGTGATTTAGTATGTAAAGGGCTTAGAAGAGAAGCTTTGGAAACAGCCCAAATGCCCAAAAATAGATGACTGGATCAAGAAGATGTGGTACATATATACCATGGAATATTACTCAGCATTCAAAAAAGATAAACACATGCAATTTGCAGCAACATGGATGGCGCTGGAAGGGATCATGCTCAGCGAAATAAGCCAAAAAGAAAAAGAAAAATACCGGATGGTCTCACTCATAGCAGGAATCTAGAAAACTTAAATAAGGGACCAGGAAAATGAATAACTATAAGAAAGTGAAAATCAAAATCAACAAAAAACTATGAACCAGAGATACTTTTTGGGGGGTGGGGGGCGGGAGGGAGGGATTGGGGTCAGAATGGGGGGGTTGCAATTGTATGGGGAATATAAAAATAAAATTTATTATTTAAAAAAAAATAAAATAAAGGGCTTAGAAGAGGGCCTGGCTCATAATTCTCACTAAGTGTTTGTGTTCATTATTATTATTATTACTATTCCAATCTCATACCAACATTTGATTTTACCTTGGGTCTTTTTTTTTTTTTTTTAAATTTTTTTTTTTTTTTTTTATAGAGGCATGTTTATTTATTTATTTATTTTGTTTGTTTGTTTTGTTTATACATGCACTGGGTACAGTCAGAAGCGCGGGAGGGTGAGAGAATTCACCAGAGCCAGAGCGGGGAGCAGAGCAGGCAGAAGGACCGAAGTACACTGCTGAAGGGAGCAGCGGGCGGCAGGAGAGGTCTGCGCGCCATGTGGGATTCTCCGCCGGTGGCCGGGGAGCAGCCGGGGATCGAACCGGCGCCGCAGAGGCCGCGGGCAGCTTCGCAACCCAGCGCTCAACCGCTGCGCCACCGGGGAGGCCCTACCTTGGGTCTTGAACAAACCTTGTTCCAAGCCCCTGAAGTGATTTTGGAACTTAGCGCATCTGGGATAAATGCTGTGCCCGCAATGCTTCCCACCAACCATGATGCTTTTTCACTATCACCCCGACCCTGACTGCTCTCAAGGTAACTGCACAAAAGAAGTTCTCCTCCTGCACTTCCTTCTTTCTGCCTGGGCTCACCATCACAGGTCATGGCTGTGCAGACCCAGTTCCCGCAGGCACACACGCAGCGGTTACAGTCCACCTCAGTCTCAGCTCCGTCTGCGTATGTTTCATCCTCCAGGGCACACTCTGTTGGGACCAGAAACAAGGGTCAACAGTTCAAGCAGTGAGTGGAACAGACCAACTTGGCTACAGTCTGTGCACCTTACCCTTTTAAGCCCAGACAAGACCTGCCTGTCCCGCAGAAGCACCATATCTGAGCAAATGCCATCAGCAACCCAAATATTCTGTGACCCTAACCTCATCATGGAGCAAGTGGCCTGGGGCACAGTCTAGAATCATGGAAGGGAGTTTTATCAAATTCTGGAGAATTTCACCAATCCTCTTTATTTTGGCCCTCTCAAAATGCTCCCCCCCAACAACTCCCAATTTCTACAGTTAGGCGTACTCTTCTCTGGCGGGTTGAAGGATGGGTTGAGGCACTTGAGGAACTCTTGGAAGCTGAGTTTCCAGTCAGCATTTTCATCAGAAAGTTCAATGAGAGCATCAACACAGAGTCCTCTGCAACAAAACACAGGAGAAAGACCTCAGTTTCACTCCAGAAAACAAGAAGTGAGGACGAGGATCACACATGCCAGGACCTCCACAGGTGGCAAAACTGGAAAGTTTCTACACTGACCTCCCACCACCATCACCCATCCTGACTCCTGCAAGCATCCAACCTTTAGTTGTGAAACTGGGTGTCACATCACTCAAGCTGTTCAAATGTTCCTCCCAAGGCAACTACAGTTTCTCGAATGGTCTGGGGCACTTTGATTGACAAATGTTTTTACTACCTGCATACATTTCACTAGCAACTGCATTTCTACATGGTATGTGTCAAATCAACCAAGTTGGGAAAATCCAAAGAGGAGACAGGAGCAGGTGATATGAAAGGAATGTGTGATGTGAAAGAACATGGAGTTCAAGCAAGTATGTTCACTACCACTGTTCTACAAAGAAATCTTTCAAAAAAGTTTTAGAGAACACCGGCTCCCTCACTGTCCCATTGGCCTGGATTTGAGCCCTGACTCAATCACCTGCTCCCCAAATGGCTTAAAGCTAGTCATTCAACCTTTCTGAGTCTGTTTTCTCATCTGTAAAATGAGGACAAGGAGTCATCCTTCCTGGGATGTGTTAAGAATCAAATATTGAACTTGTAAAACATTACCTAATTTCAGGCTTTCAAAATACAAGGAATTGGCAGAGATTACACTTTAAGCTCATGGACTATTATTAAGAAAGTTATTTTCTAGAAAATGTGCTCATGCTTTGAATTTCTTTGAACAAAAGAGATGCTTGCCAATTTTAATTTTTTTCCTAGTGTACTGAAACTGTACCAGAAGTTGCTTGGAGGCTAATTCTTATTAATACTCATTTTGGACTAATACATAAAAGGAGAAGGGTATGCTGACATTTATAACACTTAAGGCTCATTATGAAATAGCACCAATTATCTTAAAAATCAGAACTAAACCTATTTTAGACCTACAGTTAAATAATACATTAAAGTAATTCCTTTAGACATGAACCACTAAAACATTACCCACAACACCCAGAAACAGCTTTGCTCTGATGTGATCTTGATCATTTATTTTAAACTCACATTCTGCTATTTCCTTGTATGTACACTGTAGCCAACACAAGAACAATTTGATCAGCTATCAGTGGTGCTCCATATATTATTAGTCCATGATGTTCACAAATATGCCAGGACAGAATTCCTGTGTTACTTTAACTTCACATTGGCACTGGCGGCCCCTTTGCAGGTAGAAGGTAAATACACTCTTATCCAGCCTTTTCCTCGTGGACCAGTCCTTGATACCCTCACTCACTCACCTAAGCAGCTTGTTGTTCTCATGGTCTGCATAGGTGGTAATATTGATGGCGGTCTCATTCTGCTCCACAAATTTCAGGAATTCCTTGGAGTCCAAACGAGAGTCACCATCATCAAAGTTCTAGGAAGGAATGAAGAGATCTTTTAGGAACATTCTGTAGAACTCCTATTCCACCACTTGGCCCATCATTTACTTGGTCTCAGAGAGCTACAGCAACTAAGGCTTGATGGCCTGGGGCACCCAGAAAATGCACTTGTGCCCCAAGATGAAAGAGAGCCTGGGCAGGGACCACCAAGGCCTGTAAAACCCAGATCCTGAACACAGGTCTGTGCTGCCCAAATACTGGGGATGCTTGGGGGTACTCTGTAACCCCATTCCTGACACTGCATGTAGACAATCTTGATTTTACCTTTGGGTTCAGAACAACCGTCGTTCTCAAACACTCATGAGCAGTAACAACCTGATTTCCAACCTCGCTGGCCTGCTCTTGTGCTTAATTTTCACGCTGATACCCTAACTGACCATAACTGAGAAGTTAAAGGCCAAGACCCTGTGCAGAGAAGAGGGGCTAGGCCAGGCACTCACGTGTGCACAGTGGCCAGGGGGCATGGTGGAGAGAGAAGGCTAGTCCCACTTTCAGCTCTGGGTGCCAGGAGCCTGCCACCCAGAGTCCAAAGAGAGAGAGAGAGAGAGAGAGAGAGAGAGAGAGAGAGAGAGGAGAGAGAGAGAGAGGAGACATGGCTACAGCCATTTCTACCTGAGTCTCCCCCATGAGGTCCTATCACATTTTTGCCTATAAAATAGGGAGTGAATGACCAGCTTAGCTGAGAAGAAGATTTGGGTCTTATCCAAATTCTAACTAGATTTGCTTTTCAACTAATTTTGATGTAAGGAAAGCCAGCTGGGCAGGAGGACAATTCACTGGCTCAGAAAGTCTCCTTGAGATATCAGATTTTTACCAACAGGCAGTTTTTAGTTTGTGGGAGGGAGTCTCCCCTTTGAAAACTGCACCACACAGAACTCAGATGACCACCAGAATGATAAGAAAACAAAACGACTGACTGAAACGAACTCGGATTACAAAAACAACACAGTTGTTACCCGAAGGGGGAGAGGACGGCTGCACTGGGTAAAAGGGGTGTGGTGATAGGGGGAACATAATTAATATATACAGATAATGTTTTGTAATGTTGTACACCTGAAGTCTATATAAAATTATAAATCAATGTTTCTTCGCAAAACAAAAAAAGGTAGAGAGTGAAACCTCTTTTCTTGGAAGACACTGCCAGAGCTTGGGGAGAGTGGGCATTGTATGTGTCATTCACATAAGCTTTCTTGGCTATTTCTTGGTTGATGGAATGCTCGAGAGAAAAATACTTCCTCACGGTGCGGTGATGGTTTTAGATGGGAGCCTGTTAAAATAAGTCACTGCTGGAGGAAGCAGAGAAATGTCAAGGGGAGACCGGGACCCAGATACTTGGAAATTAATTTAATAGCAGGTGTCAGTAATGCCCAGAGTAAGATGCCACCAAAGGGCCACTACAATCTGCTACAAGGTTCTAAGAGGCCCCTGCCTCCTTGTTCCTGTGCCATAAAGGCCATGGCAAAGTTAATAGACCTGGGAGGTGGCAACAGACTTGATTTCTGAAAAATAATTTCCTTTAAGTTACTTTTTGCTTCTGTCTGGCTCTCCTAACTGAGCAATATAATGTAGAAGACAAACTGCTCCCCATTCCAAGGGCTTCATAATGGGGGAGTGATGGAGACAGGAGACAGGGAGAAAGTCTATGTTCATCCATGTGCTATCTCAAACACCTGGGATTCAGAGAGATTTGTTTTCTGCCACAGAAGAGAGAAACCTCTATAAATAATAACAGTAAACCCTTAAATGATCAAATATCCTATTTCAATCCAATCTAGAATTTCTCCATCTGTGGCTCCATAATTTCAGTTAGAAAGAGGAATCTGGGGCCTCCCTGGTGGCACAAGGAGTTAAATCACAGCCCCATGCGGCTGTCCACAGCTACTGCAGCACAAGTTCGATCCCTGGCCAGGGAGCTACCCACATGGCGCAGCAGACCTCTCCTGACTCGCCCGCCGCTCCCCTCAGCAGTGTATTTCAGTCAATCTGCCTGCTCTGCTCCCCCCTCTGTTTCTGATGAATCCTCTCACCCACCGCACCTCTGGCCTGTACCCCAGTTCTTGTATGCATAAATAAATATACCTTTAAATATTCCTTTAAAATATACCTAAAAGAAAGAGGAATCCACAGATGAGGTGGGCACTGATCACATTTGGTGGCCACAGAGCAGCAGAGTCCCTTAAGTGTTTGGAGTTGCTCCCATGTCCCATGTCCCTAAGCAGGCCTAGGGACAGCGGGTCTGGAGGCATGGGAGAGTGTGTGTTTGGGGAGGAACATCAGGGGGCATCTACCCAGAGATGTGTGGCTAAGTAAGCTTACATGGGAACATGGGATGTGTGTGTCTGTGAGCAGGATGTGTCTCTGGGCGGTGCGTGCATGTCTATATGCACTTTGGCCTGTGGTTTCCTCCTATCTGTGTGATGTACATGTATGTGACTGTGTTCTTGTCAATCAACAGTAAGAGCACCCTTAATTGATTGCTCTAACAACTGTCTGGAGTGCTCTGAAAGATCTCCAGGCCATGGACTCCCTACTTATTACTAAGTACTATTTCCTCCATTATTTTCTTTTTTGAAAGCAACATCTCTCCTGTCCCCAACTGGAACAATCTGTATCTCCAGTGAAATATGATGAGAGCAGCAACAACTAGGTTTATGAAGAATCCTGGAACAAGAAATGCCAGTTCACTGACCCTTCTAAGATGAAGAGAAGCATTGCTTCTTGTGGACAGCCAAGTTAATAATTTAGAGAAATGTCAAACTGGATTGGATGGATGAAACTGCCTGGGTCCAGGTCAGATCAGAAGTTTTGTATCAGCACCCAGCTCTGTAAGGTATTATATGAGATAGGTTCTGGCTTTATTTCCAATGGAAGATTTCCCCAGAACATTGTGGTTTTAAGTCTCTTAAGGGAACAGCACGTGTACATTAGATCCCCAAACTTCAATGCTGGACTCCCATTGACCAAGCTGGTCAGAAGACAACTGTCACAGCTTCATGGAATGATCTACAATGAGGAAGCACTCAGGGACTCTTTGTAGGTCTTATTTCCTCAGTCTGGGAAGACATGATTTAGCAAATGGAGAGGAAGTCTTCCGTTTTCCTGGGTTGAACAGTCTTCCAACCCAACTCTGGATTACCTTAAAGTACTTGTCCAGGATTTCACTGTAGTTGCTGCCTTTAGAAAACCAGCCATCTGGAATGATCTCTGCTTCCAACCACTGGATGATGCGACGCCGTAGCTCATCACGGTTGGACTGATAGCAAACAACTGCAGAAAAGCAGGGGAGGGAGGTCAGTTGAATGGCTGGGAGGACCCCAATGTCACCTACCACATGCCTGGGTCATCTCACTGATTTTTCATGGCATGCTGGGGAAATTGGAATGTTCAGGTACATTTTATAGAGTCAGTCAGGGTACACATTAGAAAGACCTAACTTTTATTCAAGCTCATGTCTCTACAACATTTATAAAGATCAGGAATACTGAGACAGAGATATAATGTTGCTCAGGTAAGAAAAAAGGAGAACAGAAAAATAAAGGCTATTTTCATTAACTTTGGGAGGCCATAGGAAAAATGAACCCATCAGCAGAATAGTTCTCTTGGCTGAAAGATGAGTTGAAATAATAAATGAAGAAATGAGAAGATTACAAATCTTTATGGCACTGGATCTGATTCTTTTTATACAGCTTTTTCTTCTCCTACCAACTCAGTTACTCAAAACTTTCTCCCACTTAAAATTTACGCTGTCTGCATTCTTTTGCTATGAACAGCAAAAAATAAGGCCAAGGAAGGCCGTGTTGAAGCCTGGCTCTTGACAGCTGTTATAAGCCACATGGAAACAACAGCTGGGAGTCAGCTGGGTAGGGAGGCTGAGAAGGGAAAGTCCTGGCAAAAGAGAATTCCTGGAAGACAACACATGTTGGAAAGAGAAAAGGGCACTGAGAAAGAGGAACACAAATCCAGGCCTTTCTCCCTTCCCTGCCACTTTCTAGCCACTTGATCTGGGGAAATTCACTTCACCTTTCTGAGCCTCAACTTTCTCATCTATAAAACAATTATAATAAAATCTACTTCACAAGGTTATTGTGAGGATATAAGGAAGAGTATGTTACTGTAAATATTGATGAAATTTAAAATTTTATTCTGAAAAAAACATGGCATGGAAGACATCTTACTGGCATTTTCCATTGATCCTCTTTCAAGAACTGTGCCTTGAGGTTCTGTTCATCCCGTGACATCAGCTTGTCACACAGAACACTGATGGAGGGACTCAGGGGCTTTCCTGTCTTTATAGTTCAACCTCTGCTCAGCAAAAATGGAAAACAGCCAACATTCTGGCCCAACCAGTTGCTTCAAATGATAAACACTAAAACTGCAATTTTGCAGCTTTTCTGAACTGTGTTGAGGAGTGACCAGTTCTGGGTCACAAGTTTTAACACATAGAAGATCTTGTGGCTTCAGCAGGGGTTGCGAAACACAAAATTTCCATCATGAAAAGAATTTCCTCCCTAAGATGCATGCTGTAAAAAAAAAAAAAAAAAAAAAAAGCACTCACCTGGGCTGGCAGATGGACTTACAGATTTCTTCTCTGTAAGATAAAAGGAGAAAAAGCACAATGCAAAGTGAAGAAAGGAAAAATTCCATGTATTACTAGGACTAAAACTACCCACACTTGTGCGCAGCTGTAACATTTTCATCATTTTCTCTTGAGTTCATGTCTCTTTCTTTCTTCCAGGGCTCATGTATGGCCATCTTGTCCTTCCTGCTTTGCTTGACATTTTGGGGTCACTGAACTGCACTGTTCTCACTTCTCCTTCTATTAGGTTGAGGGGCTATGGGGTGGCTGGGACTTTGAGAATCCATATAGAGTCATTACGTATAGGGAAGTAGAGTGGGCACCCACACACAGGAAATGACTTCTTGTTTCTTCAGGGAAGTTCAAAGATGAGAGGGGCTGGTGTGCAATTAGTGAGAAGCTTGGCTCCTCTTTTTCCTTATCCTAATGGTAATGGCTTGAGTGCACAATAGAGAAATATAATACTACCAAGAGCTGAGAGGAGCCCAAATTTAAAAGGCCTGGGGAAAGTAAAACTTATCAGCTTTTTAAAAAAGTATAATTCATTTAAACACTTTCTTATTAATAGTAATTTTTGTTGTTACCCCTTATCCATTATCCAGCTACAGAATGTCCTGGAAACCCCTGGGGGGTCTAACGTAGGAACCCCTGGGCTGAGTCCTGGCCCATCCAAAGCAAACTGAGCAGGCTCGTGAATGTCAAGAGGATGCATCTCAAGCATCTGGGTGGTCTCCATGCCTCTGGGCAAATGGTCAGAGTGGCAAGGACTCTACAAAGCCAGGTCACACTGCTCGGTTCCCTGGCTCCCCGTGGTTCCAGCTGGATGTGGTGGCAATAGCACTCCTCACCTTTGCAGTGTCCATCATAGTCAACCTGGATTTTGGATCCAGTGAGGCAGGCGTCTCGATGCAGCTCACAGTGGTTGAGGTAGGTCTTGCCATTGCTGCCGCACACAGGCCTCTTGTGAGGTTTGCATTGCTGAAAAGACCCACAGGGGATGTTCGTACAATGAGAGGTATTGACAGGCATACACAGAGCCATCATGTGAGGGGGGCCCCCAGCAGATGGCCTTGATCCCACCAGCGCAGGGGAAACTGCTCTCAGCTCTGTCATCTGGCTCCATCCCACTCAATGTTGGGGATAACGCACCAGGTGATTCAGGGTTAACACTTATTCAGTGAAAAAATAAACCCCTCTGACTCTAGCAGCAAATTAGCAAGAAGGACATTTTTTTCAGAAGTCAGAAATACGGAGTCTGTGACTTTGCCAAAAGTCACTGTCTTTGGATGATCTAAGATGCCTTAAAATTCCAGTGTTTTATGGCACAAAACAGTCAGAGCTAAGAGCTGGTAATGTGGAGACTGAAAGGCAGGCAAAGACTCACATTTACCCCTTTGCTCAGATTCTTTAATTTTTCCGGAGTGCAGTAGGACCCTGGTAAGGCTCTTTGCTCTCCTGCTTTGTTCAGTATTTGGGGGACCATTTTGTTTTCTACCTAATCTTCCTATGTCTATTGTGAAGCCTGGGTCTTTGTCAAGCACTACAGAGAAGCAGTATAAGGAAATGTACTAAAGTTCACTTGGCAACTCAATCCTACTTTGGCTATTTAAAGTGCCATGGTCACAGTCAAGATCAGTTTCCTTAGAATTGTGGTGTTTGAAAGAGGGCGGAGGGGAGCAAGTTCAGCACAGACCAAATAAAAGCAAAAAAAAGAACAGCCATAGTGAAAAGAAAGCATGAAACACTGGAACTGAAATGGAAAGGTAACCCAATCTCTCCAATTTATAGACGAGACTATCAAAGAGATAGGACCTGCACTTAACCAACACTTATTATTGAGATCTTACTGTGTCCTGGGCATTGGGAAAAGCCAAAAATGGTCTCTGTCTTCACGGTATCCAGCAAGAACTAATTTGCTCAAAATCACACAACTATATGTGGTTCAGCTAAGACTAGACACTGAACTTGCAGACCCTAAGTCAGCCCATGCACCACTCCGTGGCCTCTGGTGAGAGCCTCTGAGGCTCCCCAGCAGATCTTGTTTTTAGGCTTCTCAGTTGGGGGATTTCGTTTCTGCAGCAACGGATCAGGACATGCCCATGGGGACTAAGTTGGGTGAATTTATTTTTGGAAACACAGATGTATTGTATTTCCAAGATATGGGTCAATATGCCAGCAAGGGCACAGATTCAGGGTATTTATGTTCACTTAAAGAGCAAAAACTTATCAGAATCCTGCCTACAAAGGATGGATTTCTTGGAAAACTCATTAAAAACCTGCATTCAACTAATTTAAAAAACTCCCCCCACACATCCTTCAATCTAGCAAGGCCTAGTGTCAATCCATCCTACAGCAAGAGAGAGCAGCATGGAAGAGCATTTGCAAAAGGATGTCACAGTTTGTAGTGGTAAACAGTCCATGAAACATCCCAAACAATCATCTATAGGAAAATGATTAAATACATCTGGCTCTTTCAGGTCACTAAATATTATGCAACTATTAAAACATGAGTTAGAACTATATGTGCTGATTTGGAGAGTTGTCTGTGATAGATTAATAAGTACAAAAGGCAAGGTGTACATATCTGTATTTATTACTTTATATAACTATATACATATATACTTTATATAACCTTATATATTTATAGTTGCATAGAAAAAAAATATGTGGCATAATATATACCAAACTGTAAACACTGGTTATCTCAGATTAAAGATTTTTGAACCTTATGGGGAAGATTATTACACTTTTGCTTGTACAAAGATCTGCGCTATCTAATTTAAATAAAGCAATTGTCAATTTTTATAACTTAAAAATCTTATAAACATTTTTTTAAAGAAAAAATACCCTGCATTCACATCTGATTTTTAACTCTTGGGGTGAGAATTCCACATCTTTCAGAAGGATAAGGTGAGCTTTTATAAAGATGATGAAATTGTTGGCACTGCTCTGCTGACTGGCAGCTCCAGCAAGGTAGCCAGGCTGGCCTTGGCCACTGTCTTCGGACCCTGACCTCAGGACTTACCTCAATGCAGAGGCAGGTGGGTTCTCCCTTTTCTGTGACTGCACATTCCCGTCCAGCTCCACAAAACACATTGGCACAGATCTTGGATTTGCTTCTTTGTTCTTCCTAGAACACAAAATCATAAAGGAAACCATGTCATGGACATGAGCCCATCACAGGTGAGTCAATGGCGGTGATCATCTTTCAGGCTTGAGCCTTGGTCTGGAGTCAGGACTCATGGTGTTGAAAGGTCGTGAAGAACCAACAGTTCACTGTTCCCAACAGTGTCACATCAGCCTTGCTGGGATTACTGTTGTCCAGGCCTAGCTGTTTCTGAGTCCTTAAGAATATTTCTTAAAGTCAAGAGTTCCTTTCTTACATGTTTAATTTCCTTTAAAAGTGTTTATTGAGCACCCATTATATGCCAACACTGTGACAAGAGCTGCAGATAAAGGCCCAGTACCCATACTCAAGAAGCTCCAGGACTGTCTGAAAAAATCCATACATAAAGAGAAATTTAGAAAGCAATATGAAAATACAACAGGAGCACCAGGGAGCTGAAGGGGAGGATAAGGACAATCAAGTTAGACTTTCTAGTAACAGAGAGGAGGCCTTAAATGATTCCTAAAATGATGAGATGAGAAAGCTGGACAGAAATGGAAACATTTGAGAGAAATACGGCTATTGGAAGGGCTAACAACTCATTGAATAGTATCCAAGGCATTGTCACTTCAAAAGGCAAAAGACGACTAGCCAAACCTTTGGAAACATGGGTTTGCCAGTATTCAATATGGTTTCAGTTAATGTCTGTCCACATCTGTCTCTGGCTTCAAGATCCAGAGGGCCAAGCCACCAGATGGACAGTAGAACTATCCTCAAACCACTTGAGGCCAGACATTCCTGTTTAGACATTTGCGGCAGAACTGACAAGGCAGGGAATGGTTCCAATCTCCGCCGCTGACCATGTGAGTGTTCATAGGTACTAATCTGTTAGTGACACTTCCTTTCTCTCACATTAACTACAGCAGAAAGTAGCCCTACCGCTGGCCACTCAGGCCAACAAAGGTGGTAGCTGAACAAAGGCGAATGTGACACCTTTCTCCAGCCTTTCTCGGACTAGCTCTCAGGCGGTCACCGTAAGCCTCTGGGCTCCAGCCCACTGGCTGTGACAAAACTAACAAAAGGTGGCAGGAGCTGCCACGGGGCTGCTGGACTGCCATAGTAAAGGCAGGGATGGAAACTTAAAATTCCTCTCTTCAGGGCCTTTCTACTGTGTTATGCAGAGACCCCACACCCACAACTCATCTTTAAACAATATTTAATATTGTAAATATTTGTAACAGTAAATGTTTAATATTCAGGAACAGGTCAAAAAAAGCAAAAACAAAGTAAATGTTGACAGCTGAGGACTGTGTCCAATACCACAGGTCTGCTGCCACCTGGAGGCTGCTTTGCAAACTCCAGAAATTTGTTTTCTCTCCTAAACCAGCTTGCCCATCCTGGCAGGCTCTCATTGGTCTAGAAGCCCTTCCCAAGCTCACAACTCATTGGTTTACATGCTGTTGCTAAACCCATTCTTTTTGGCATGTTGCTAAGGAGAATTCAATAAAACTGGCAGGCAGGGGAGAAAAAAGGAAGTGATTCCCAGAAGGCTAGAGGGACTGGAGAGCTGTTGTTTCCTAAACTAGGAGTGGAGATAAAAATCGAACATATTCTCCTTGGCAGGGGCCTCTTGGAAACTATGCCTGGGAATGGAAAGTAGTTCCTTAAAAGGAAGACAAAAAGGCTATCACTAACCAGTGTAAAAAATCTCAGTAAGACTACTTGTTCCTCTCCCTTTCATGAAACAACACAGTGACCAAGGAATACAGAAAAGTATATATCCCTGTAGAGGTAAGTCTCTTGATCTAGACACCCATGTGCATCAAAAATCTCAGACATCTGCTACACCCAAAGGCACATTAGCACACAGCTCCATGACAGACTGCTAGATGTGTGTGTCCATAATTACTCATTTTAATCCTTTAAGCCTCAGTCTCCTTATCTGCAAAGTAGGGGTAAATACCAGCCCTGCCCTGTAAAGATGAAATGAGATAATATATCTGGATTTTATATATATATACATATATATATATGTATATATATATAAATGATATATGATAAGCTGCAAAGCAAGCTGCCTGTGAGAAATGTTATTGGTGTTAATGCACACAGAGCTTCCTGCAGAATAGACTGACATTTCTAAAACCTCCTATTTATCTTCTTATTGTTTTTAGTGATTATTACATACAAGAGCATTTACTTAGAGGTTGAATTCAACCAAAGTCATTTTTCAGAAATAGTTCTCAAAATTTCATTGAAGAAACTGATATTCTTTACTTAAATACAGTGACTACTGGTTACATAATATAATTAAAATTTACAAAGTGTTTTCTACACGTGATTTTGTCTCACTGTGTGGATAACCTGCAAGAACATATATGGTATCCACCCCATTTTCTACATGAGGAAACTGTCAGAAAGGTCAAGTGACTTATCCAAGTTCTGAAAGTCAAAAATGAGAGCAAGAATTCTAACCCAAATTGTCAGAGAAGAGATAATTAAACTCCCATTTATAAACGCCTAGCATCTGCTAAATGATTTTTATTAGACATTATTTTATTAAAGCTCTACAACAGCTCCACAAGTTAGACATCATAACCATTTCCACCTTACAGATGAACTATCAGAGCCTCAGATGTAACATAACTAGAAAGTGGCAGAACTAGGATTCTACACAATCAGGGGAAAAGTAATTTCTTTTATATTTGCTATATTTTCATTTCCAGATGATTTAAAGTGGAGGTAATTATGCTGGGGATGTGATGTGGATAATTAGCAAATGTCAGAGGTGCTTGGTGAGTCACAGAGTTAGATCTGAATTCTCACCTCTCACCTTTACTTCTTACTTGCCAGGGCGTCGGTGGGCAAGGTACTTACTCTCCTTAAGCTTCAGCTTCCTTGCGTGTAAAGTGGAGCATTAATCCCTGTGAGGGTTGTGTGAGAATTAAACGTACTTCGTGGAGCAAAAAGAGTGCCCATCACACAACCAAAAATGCCTGTGAGTAATGCTGGGCAGCTGATTTTCAGACCATTTTCCCACCGATGCTTTTATCCCTTGGGGCTGACCTATGCCCACCATCACCTCATACTGGACTGACAATGCCACGAGCAGCAGGACTGAATGAATGGAACAAAAAAGGCCCCAACATTCCCTGTGTCTCTTGTTTAAGACCACAGAGGAAGGAGGAAGGTGCTAGTTACACAAGTACTCCTTTTTTGCAGGTGGCACATCTGTCAATAGGTGGCAATCTCTCTCTTTGTCTCAGAGACCAGAGCCGCAATGCAGAACAGCCTGGGCTCCTGCAGTCCCTCCCGTTCTATGCTCCCAGGGGGATGAAGTGTAGGATGTAGAGAGCAGGGAGGGGGCCCCCTGGGCAGTGGCAGCAGGTACCAAGAAGTGGGGATTTGCTGACTAGGGAAAGAATGTCTTCCCTGAAGCCCTCATGTCCCTCCCCAGTTCTTCCCATTCACAGGATGCTTTAATGCAGGAATCAACGTTAAAAAAAATTTCTCCCCAGAGGCCTTTTTGTGTTACTGAAAGTCCTCCAAGTTTTATCTTCCCTAAGAGTATTCTGCATCTCGGAGGCGCCTGGAAAGTTCCTTCAGGTGGTAGGTGGTCTTGCCCACCTGCTGAGTGACTGAGTCTGAGTGGAGAACATGTCGAGAGGGGATGTACTTTGTAGGAACATACTCATGGGTCAGGGCAGTGGCTGCCTGGCTGGGAGGTGATGGGGAAGAGATGAAGCAGGGCTCACCAGCTCAGCTGAGGTGCTCTCCATGGATCTGCAGAACAGCGAGGATCTTGAAAAGTTTGGGATTTTACAAGTAATATGAATGTGGTGTTCTGGGATCTTAATTTGTGTCTGCTCCCTTCTAACTCATAAGTTCCAATTCCAAGTACATGGATGGGTCCTGCTGGAGAGGCTGGAAGCAGGGCAAGCCACCAGGTGTAATACAGTCACCTAGCCAGTGGTGACGAGGGCAGATATTAATCAGAGTTCCTTTGACCGAGTGAGGCTCCTCACAGATACCTTTGTCCTCACATCTGTGCTAGTTTCTGTAATTTTACTTTTTCCTAACAGAGAGGGAGGAATTTAAGATTCAAAAAAGCTCTGTGGTGTATGCAGACCATGTACATAGTGAGGGCTGAATCAAGACTAGAACATAGGTCAGTCTGCCTCTGAAGCCGCCACATTTTATTACAGGAAACAGTCAAGGGAGGGAGTTGCTGGCAGAAGGTACATCTACAAGGGCTGCCACTGGGGGAGGTCACAGGGCACACTGCAATTCTCACCAATGAAATAGAACTGTTAGTTTTACCATCATAACAATTTTAGTAATGAGGTCCCAAGGCCAGACGCAAATTTCACTGATGCACAGATAACTAGCTGGCACATAAATATTCTGAGGCCATAGGTATGTAAACCTGGAAGTCTAGAGAGAGTGGGGTGGATTAAGTGGGGATGGGAATGTGTTCTGGAAGTGTGGACACCCTGGTATATTGATAAAAATCAACAAAATAATTGATTCTAATGGAGAAACACCAGTTTTCTAGCTTTAAGCATCTGCATCATCTCCCTGATGTTTCTATCTTGTTTTCACTATGTGTTGCAAGCCATGCTCTGGGGGTTTGGTCTCATGGTAAATTTTCACTATGCAAACTCCCACTGGTAAAAGATGAACAGGGAACTATAAAAATGTCCTCTCTGAGCAACCGTCAGCCAGTACGGGGTGATAATAACACTTAATACTTGTGCAACGATTTCCACTAATTTTAACTTTTACTATCACTTTCAATTCTTAAAATCTTTTAGGATAGGAAGGCAGGGCCTTACCTCTAAGGTATGAGGAGGAAGAAGCTGAAGCTCAAGGCTGTATATGGCTGATCCAAGACCCCCTGTGTGCAGAAGTTGGGCTCTGGTTGGAGGCTCCATCCACAATTTAATTGCAGCTCTTTCCACTAAACCACTCTACCTCTTTGCAAATCAAATCGAGAAAATGTGTGGTCTTAGAGCCGTGATCTA